AAAGGATGTGCTAGAAGAGAAGCTTGTACTGCTGAAGTTACATGCGCCAGTATAACTTAAGCTACTAATTAGGCAAGTTGTGATGCAGTTTTACCAAATAGATGTGTATTTATTAATAATGGATGTGTCCCAATCGGAAATTGTAATACTTACAGTGGCACTTCAGAAGCTGCTTGTAAGGATCTTGTTAATGGAAATGGTGAAAAATGTTTTTGGACAGCTGGTAATAATACTTGCATTGATAGAGCATGCAGTTAAATTACAAATCCAGCAGATCTAAAGGCTTGTACAGATCATAAATCTACTTGTGCAAGAAAGTCAGATGGTACTGTATGTGAAAATGCTACATGCACTAATGTTGTAAGCCCAACTGATGAAACTTCCTGTTAAAACTATCATCCAAAATGTCATTATGGTAAAGTAAGTTCAGCAGCTGCTTGTAGTGAAGGAACTACTTGTAGTGTATTTGGACCGTCAAATACTAATACGTGTCCTACTGTGATTACTGCTCATGGAGGTGCATGTAAAGCACATTCAACTGGAGGAAATAATTGCATAGATGATGTCTGTTCTGCTTATAATGCCAATGCTAATGATTGCAAAGCTAAAAAAGTGTCTTATTCAACCCAATATTCAGGAGCTGCTACTGCTTAACTCTGTTTCCATGATGGAACTAATTGTGTAGAAAGATCATGTGCAAATGCAAATACACATCTTGGAGTTACTGTTTCTTCATTTTCTTAATGTAATTCATACTATGAATTATGTGTATTTTCAAAACCATCATCAGGAGCTACTTGTGTAAATGGAAATAATTAAAATGGATCTACATTTGGCTGCTCATAGGTCTAAGGTACTCAAGAAGATTGTTTAACTTTAACTGGTAAATACTTAGTTGGTTCTGTTTGGGAATATAGATTATGTTATAAACATAATACACTAAATGGTGTTGCCGCTTGTGTAGATAGAGAATGTACTTAAAAAACAGATGGAAATACTGATGCAATATGTTAGGCATGGCTTCCAACTTGTAAGACTAATGGAGTCAGTTGTGTTGATATTACATCAGCATGTACAACAATGTCAGGAACTTCATAAAGTTGTTAATTACTTACTGGTATAAAATTGGGATCAAAATGCTAAGGTAATACATCTGTAAATGGTGGTTGTGTTGATAAAAGATGTTAAGATAATGGAACAGCTACAACAGATGCAGATTGTAAGAAATTTATGGATGGTTGTATAACAACTGGTAAAGGATGTATTGCTAGTACTACTCCATGTTCTGGTTAATGGGGAAATCAAGATGGATGTAAATTATTAACAGGAAATAGTAAATAATGTTGGAGTTTATCTTTAACTACTAAAGGTCCTTGTATTGATAGAACATGTGCTCATAATACAACAGCAACTACTGATACTGATTGTGCAGCCTTCATGAAAGGATGTGTTACAAAGAGACCAGGTTGTATTGAGGCTACAGCTGAATGTACATCTTATTAAGGAGTTTAAGCAGATTGTGAAAAGGCAGTGGGTAATGGTAAATCATGTACAAATGATTCAACAGCAACTGCCACAACTGCTTGTAAAGTGAAAGATTGCACTAAATTAGTTGCTGATGCTTATTCAGAATCAGTATGTTAAGCTTATGGTATATAATGTCATTATAATGGAACAAAATGTGATGTTGTATAAACATGTTCACAATTAAAGGGTAACTTTGTTACTTGTGCTTAATATGTAGCAGTAGATGGACCATGTGTTGGTACAGCACTCTAAACTGAAACCCCAACAAATTGTTCAGCTGCCAAATGCTCAGATGCTCCTATTACATTAACAACAGATGCTGAATGTGAAGCATATAAAAGTGGATGTAAGACTAATGGTTATGGTTGTGGTTCAACAATTACATGTGAAGATGTATAATCTTCTACATCTTGTGCTGCTGTTAAAAACGGAAATAATTTTATTTGTAATTGGGCTTCTTAATGTAGAGATGTCTAATCAACATGCAGTAGTTTCACTGCAAGTGGTCAAAGTGTTTGTGCTACTTCTGAATCTACTTCAGGATTTGGTATATGTGTTTGGAAAAATAGTGCTTGTACAGAAGCAAAATGTGAAGATTTACCATTGACAGTTGGTTCAGAAACAGATTGTACAGATTATTCTACTACTTGTACTTTTGGTGGAGTTGGAAATGGTTGTGTTACATAAGGAGCATGTACTAGTTATACAAGATAGGAAGTATGTTCAACAGCAAAATCTACAGATTCTATTGGAAGTTGTACTTGGGATGAAACTGTAGTTACAGGTACATAAATAAAAGGATGTAGAGCAAAAGATTGTTAAGATGCACCTACAACATTAGTTAATGATTCTGAATGTGATGCATTCATTTCAGGTTGTGTTAGTAATGGTGCTGGATGTATGAAATCTACATACACATGTGATATGCTTAAGACTTAAGTAAAATGTCTTTAAGATTCTTCTTTATAACCATGTCTTTGGAATAATGGTGTTTGTCAATAATATTATAGATGTTCTGATTTAGCTTTGAAAACAGTAGCTACATGTTAAGCAGCTTCTAAATATTGTACAACAGATGAAAGCAAATGCACTCCTTTAAAGACTTGTAGTAATTACACAAAATAATTATAATGTTCAATTGGTACTGATGGTGTTTGTGGTTGGGTTACATCTACAAAGAAATGTCAACTCTTTACTTAATGTACAGACTTAGTTTCTAAAGTAAATACTGAATGTTCAGCTTTCAATTCTAAATGTATAAGTAATGGAACAAATTGTATTGAAATGGCTGAATGTTCTGCTTATGCTGATAGTGAAATTGCTTGTAAGATTGGAGGAACTGATGGCACATGTTAATTTGATAAGGATACATCAACTTGTAGATTGAGACAATGTTCTGATGCAACTACTTCTACTTCAACACATAATGGATGCTTTGGATATTAAATTAATTCTACTACTAAATGTACAACTGATGGATCTAAATGTATTGCTTTGGCTGATTGTTCCTCATATACAAAATAAGCAGGTTGTGTCCTTGATAGTTAATTCAAAGCTTGTGCTTGGGATGGTACAGCCAAAACATGTAAAACAAAGGCTTGTTCAGATACTAAAAAGACTAAAACATCTGAATGTGCTGCTGCTTTAGCTGGATGTATATCAGATGGAACCAAATGTATTGATTAAGGAAAATGTGCAGATTACACTACTAAAGAATCTTGTAATGCTGGTGGAACAGATGGAGCTTGTGCTTTTACTCCAGCTTCTGGATCTACAACAACAGGAACATGCAAATTATTTACTTAATGTTCAGATGCCAATTCTGATTAAACTGCTTGCCAATCCAAATCATTAACTTGTAAATGGACTGCTGCAGTTGGTACTACTGCTAGTTCTTGTTCAAATCATAATTGTGATACAGCTGCTAAAGGAACAGCAAAATGTGTTACCATTCCTAGTTTTGATGGCAAGAAATATACAGTTTGTCAAGTTTAAGGTGGAAAATGTGTCACTGGTGATCCAAGTGCATTGACTTAAGATACATGTTATAAGATGAGTTAATATACCTACAGTTGGAATGCTAATACAAAGAAATGTGTTGCTTGTGGATCTGGTGCTACTAATACCAACAATAACACTACTGTAGAAAACAATTAAAGTACTGTAAATGATACCACTACCACTGACCATGCATCTTATCTATATGTTTTACCCCTTTTGATTTCCTTAGGTTTCTAATGAAAAAAAACATGAAATTAATCATATTAAAGAAAATAATCATAATCTAATCTTTTATATTACTTATTATATATATCAATAATTACTTATTATTTTTAATGTCTGATACTCCAAAAAATAAATCTATCCCAATTACAGATTATAAGAAGAAATCTAGATTAAAAGAGATTTAAGCTAAAATGAAATAGAAAATGATATTAACTGGACCTTAATAACATTCTTAAAATAATACTCGTTTTAGTGTTTTGGAAACTAAATTAGGTCTAAGAGCTTTATCAAGATCAGATAGATTCGATGTTGTACTAAAAGAATTTAAAGGACTTGATACATTTTTTACTATCAATGAATTATTATAAGAATTAAATACTGTAGGTGTTGATGATAGGAAAAATGAAATCTAAAGAGATAAAATTAAAATATTGTTAGAATAAGAAAAAATTAAAAGATGGAAAACTTAATTTCCTTAACATTTAGAATTTGAATCAAATACAAGATTTAGTGTTAAAAGTGAATTACTTTTAAAAGCAAGAAATTAGCTGAATTTAGAAAAATATGAACCATAATTATTTGAAACTATTCAAAATCTAAAACCATACCTTAAAGATAAATTCAAAGATATAGATTTAAGAGAAAATCCATAACTTTAATTATTTAAAGACATTACTGATATTAGATAAATAGAAAAAGAATAAAAAAAAAGTATATTAGCTAGATTAAATACTAATATTGAAAGCATGACTTAAATTTAACCATTAAAGGAAGCTAAAAATCAAGATTATTATGATACTTTCTAAAGTGAAGCAGATAAATTAAGAATTAGACTTCGAGAATAATAAATGGAATTTTTTAATAAAAAATGGGGTAACTCTATTGTAAAAATGAAAGTGAAAGATTAATAATTCAAAAGACAAGCTCAAAATAATTTTAAAAGAATGCAAACAATATAAGTTTAAAATTATGAAAGAAAAAAAAAAGCAGCTAGAGAAACTATAACTGATCCATTTATGAAAGAATTGATTTCTGATGTATGTTATGAAGAAGCTGAAATGATGGAAGAAAAAAAAGAAATTTAATAGATTTTCCGTCAAATGTAATAAACTCATGATGGTTTTTATAAAAAATATGAAGATCCAGAAGTTATAGGATTGAGAATGATTACTAAATGAACTAATTAAAAATTATTCATTATTTTATGATTTTTAATTAATATCAATTATGATTGAAATTAAAATCATTCAATTACTATTAATTGTATTTTCTTCCTCTATATTTTAATTCTCTTAAAATTATCTTTTTCTTTAAAATATATCTTTAGAATATTCTCTTTAATTTTTCATTGTACTCTGAATGTAACTTTGAACTAAATACTCCTATTATTAATCTTAAGTTGATTGAATTGAATTCTGTTAAATTTTAGAAATTGATTTTCTTCTATTTTTATCGTATAATTAATAATTTAATTTATTTATTTATTCATCTTCATGAGTATCATTATTTAATTCTAATGATGATTAAATTTCTTAAGATTCTTTTTCCCAATCATACTATTAGCGTATTTTTTCCTAATTCTTTACATCTCTTAGAATCTTATCAAATAATTAATTCCCTTTTTAACATTTACACTTAATTTAAAGCATTTCAACTGCTTTTTTCACAGCCAATAATGAATTTTGATTATCTATTTTTTATTTAGCCAATTACTCTTATAACCAATTATTTTATTGTATTATTCTATTAAATTAAATGTAAAACTCTTTATGCATCAATTTCATCCTATGTTTAAGATCAATTTCCTTTTATTTTTATTGATTTAATTAATTTGCTAATAATCTATTTGATAAATTAACTTATTTAAATTTCTATTCTAGATGAATATATTTTTTATTTGTAGAAGGTCTAAAAAATTGAACTTCTGATTATTAATGATATTCAATTGCATTTTCAATAAATTTTAGAAATTCTTTTCCCTCTTAATATTTTTTATTTGTATCCTTTTAAATAGATTCTTTCATAAAATCACTTTTTGAATTATTTAGTTTAAAAAATTGATCAAACAATTTGTCTTCATCCAATTCATCTCCTTCATGTAGTAATTTAATGTGTCGATAAGAATTTTAATTATTTTCAAGAGTTGATTATGCTCTTTGATTCTTAGATTCAAGACTTGGTTTTTTTCTTTATTAAAAAGATTCTTATTTTTATTAATTAACCTTATTAAAGTATTTATATAAACCAAATGACTATTAATCCTTTGGGGATTTTTTATGTCTGAGTTCTCTTGAAATTATTATTAAATAGGATACTTGCATAATTTATTCCTTGTTTGTTTGACAGTTAACTTAGCGACATTTAATTAAAATTTATATATATATAAAAATCAATTCTAATAATAGTAGAGGTTCTATGAAAATGAAAGTTAAAATAAGTATTCATGAATATAATAAATTTATTTGATGCTTTTTCATTAAAATTAATAGAAATTATCAATTATTTCTTTTTAAATAATATTTATTAAGTTAATATACTTACTTACTTATTTATGAAATATGAATTAATATATTTGGTGATCTTGTATTTGTATTTCTTATAATTAAATTTTATTCAATTAATATTTATAATAAAATGGATGATCGAATGTCAGAAAAATTAAGCAAAGTTGAATCTAATTTAAGCTTCCATGCCAACATTAATAATACAAACCTATTGAATGAAACATAAGAATTAATTCCTACTGCTTCTAAGCTACCTCCACAAGCATTATGTGGTGTATATGTATTATGCTAATTATTACAACTAATGATTGGATACTCATTAGTTTAAAATATTGATGCAATTACTATTGCTACATAAAGATGCATTGTCAATATTATTATGACTTTGATGTATATATAATTTTTTGACAAACGTCTTTTTCAGCTAGACTAATCATGCTTCAGAGTGATTGGTGCTATGGCAGGATGTCAAGTTGTAGCTTCCTTAGTTGGATTTTGGGCAATGTAAGATTATTAATGAAATTAGGTTTTATTTTCCATTTTCAGAAATATGTGCTTTTCATTAATTAACTCCAGGATATATATAAGTCTTTAATCATTTTCTGTATTAAGCAGGAAACTAATTAAATCTAGTTATTTCTTTGATGCAAACTCTATCAACTTTACTATTTGGTTAAAACTTACTATATGTTTTTGTTTGCCTTCTCTAACCAGTATGTTTGGCATTTTCTCATGTTATTAAATTTCTGATGAATAAACAACTTCCTTTTTTCACTTTGATGCTTTATTAAAGTCTTTTTGGTCTACCTGTATATATTTTACTAAATCTTATGGCTTAAGAAGTGTAAAATATTTTTTCTGGTGCTTATTTTCTGTAATATATTATATGATCAATTTTTAGAGAGATAACATTTATGACTATTTTATAAATGATTGCTTATGTAGCTTAAAATGAAATTTAAGCTTAAAAGACAATAAAAATGTGGATTCTACCAGGTGCAGTTACAATATTATCTTTATTTGTCTAATTAGGATACCATTAAGTTGATTTGAATTATGGTACTCTTTCTATCATTTTTATTGTGTTTACATCAATTAACAATGAGAAATGATTATTCTTAAAAAATTTACATAATTTATAATATTATATCATAAAATATTTAATCTATTAAGTTGTTTATAAATGAATTAGAAAATATAAATTAATACAATATATTTTTAATATAATTTATAAAGAAATTATTAATAACAAAATATATTGTTATTCTTATTAAATAGATATATTAAGAAAGTCTATTTTATAAGTTAAATTAATTTTTTGTATAATATATTATTTTATACACTTTAAAGTAGTTTTATCAAATATGATAAGGATAACTATTAGTGTATTTAGTTAGTTTTTGAATTATACAAAATATTTTGCTTTTAATTTACAGTTAAAATTTAAAATATTATAATGTAAGACTATAGGGGGAATTTCAAAAGAATTGAATTCGGTATTTAATAAACTCCTGCTAAATCAACAACAAATATGAATGATTTTTAATCATCTTAAAAATTGAAATATGATTAAATGAGCAATAAACCTTAATCTTCCAATATTAGTTTTATTAATGCTCCTATTACAACTGTTTCAAAAGAGCTTTTTACTTTGTAAATTCCTGTAAAAGTGAAATAGATGACAGATGATTGGAATACACAATTAATTTTGAAAATGATTATGCAATAAAGTTAATAATAAGCTCATGGTTAAATATTAAGAATTGAATTAACAGATGATAACAATTTATAGTTTTTATAGATACTTGATTTGACAGAAAGTGAATTTTTAGTATTAAAAAATGAATAAAGTTTACATGTTGATTTTGCCACATTTCCTATGAAACTAGCAGATTTGTTATAATTATGTATAAATAGTTAAAGAGATGAAAAAGTGAAGTAAAAGATGTTAGATAATTTAGTTTTTATGTTTGTTTGGAAACCAAGAATGGAGAATCTACACTAGCAGTAATTGAAAATAATGAATTTAAAAAATTGACACATTTATCTTTGAAATTACGTAGTGCAACAGATGATGTGATTAAAGTGTTCTTATCAAATAAATTAGCAATAGAAAAATAAGAGAATGAAGAACAATAAAAAAGAAATAAAAAATTAACAGAGTTATTAGAAGAAAAACATTGGGAATTAGAAAATTTAAAGTCAGAAATTAGAAAATTCACAGAAGATAAAGATTCAGCTATATAATAATTATTATTAGATGAATAGAAGAAATTCAATGATTTTAGAGAATAAACTTTGAGTAAAGAAACTAATTTTAAAAGAGAGAGTGAAAATGAAAAACAATTTATAATTGAAAAATATGATAAAATTGTATTAGAATTATAGAATAAACATTCACAATTATAATAGATTAATTCAGATTTATCTGAATAAAGATCTCTACTTATTTAATAGGAAAGGGAACTCAAAAATAAATTAGCAATTCTTTAATAAGAAACTTTATAATATTAAAAAGAGAATTAAGAATTTAGATAATAAAATAAAGAATTAGATACTCTAAAATTTACTTAAGAAAGATAATTAATAGAATTAAGAATTTAAAAAGAAGGATTTGAAAAATTGATACGTGATAAAGAAGAATATTTGAATAATAAATAATAATTAGTAGATAATGAGAAAAAATAAAATGTATAATATTTATGTAAATTTTTAGACTATTCTTGAAGAATAAGTTATAAATTAAAAAAAATAAATTGAAAAACTTGAATCAAGAATTAATGTAATGAGTGAAGAAGTAAATAAAGGAAATTAGATTATAGAAAAACTTGAGAATGAACTTAGTAAATAAAAAGATAAAATTAAATTAAAAAATACTGTTGTTCTTTAATAAGAGTAAACTGTACAGTAATTATAAGATGCAAATGATTTAAATCATAAATAAATTAATGAATGTAAAATCTAATATATATATAAAATAGTAAGAAGAGAAAAAGATTCCTTAGAGATTAAATTGAAAGATCAAGAAAATATGAATCTTGATTTAAAAAACAAATTATCTGAAAGTTAAAAACTACTTGAATCAAATAACTAAATGATTCAATATTTAAATAAATGTTTAAATGAAACTAAAGTATAAGTACCAGCTTAAATGCCTGGGATTTCCTCCTTAAAAAGTTAAACATTTACTAAATATACATCTCCAATCCCATTATAAGAGGATGTAATAATCTATATTAACTTAGTAGAGAAGTTTTCGTAATTAAAGTGTTACAAATTAATAAAATTAAAATAACATTTCCTAGATCTCAAATGCTACAATATCAAATAAATTTAATTTTTGAGAATAATATATCACACCTTAAATTAATATTACAATATATATTCATACTTGTGTTTATTTTAATATTTTTCATTTATAATTATTCATCTAAAATAACAATAAATTTTAGATATTAAATAAAAAAATTAATAGAATTAAGGTTAATTAATTCAGTCACCTAACATAAAACAATAGGAAATAATTCTTGATACTTTTTGTTTATTTATTTAGAATAAAGAAATTTTTTAAAATTGGTTTATATATAAATTAAAGATTTTAATTAAAATTTGAAAAGAAAAAGAAGATAAAGAAGGCAGGAATTACAGATAAATATAATACATAATATGAAGCATCATTAAGAAAGAATATTAAAGAAATTTAAATTTCTTAGCAGTAAAGATATATTAATATCTTTCACTGGAGCAGTATAACTATTAATAATTATTTTTTTAGCATTCCCTAAATAGATAAACTATTGGTATTTTGGAGGTGCTCCTAAACTGGATTGCAAATAGTTAGTGGAGCTTTGGAGGTGAAGTCATAGACTATTTTTTCTAAATAGTACTCATGCTGGATTGTTTGCTAAATAAGGTATGTTGAGAATAAAGAAATTAAAAGATGATGTAGAGGTTGATTAAAGAAGAAAAGAAAAGAAAAGAAAGATAAAAAATAATAGCAAAATAAAGTATAAAATCCTAATAAATAAATTAAAGAAGCAAAGAAAATTTAATCTTAAAAAGCTTAAGGAAATAACAAAGATAACGTATATAAATTACATTATATATATCAATTATTTTATTTTCTTAAGGAAGGGATACAAAATTTTTCAAAAGATTCCTACTGATCTGGAATATTTACAAAAATATTAGTAAGATCTTGCAAGAATAATAAGTTTTGTATTGAATTACAATAAATAAATTATGATTTTTTTATAAAGTATTTAGATAAAACGTTGAAATATCTATAAAATAATTTTATAATTAATAATTTAATTCCAAGTTTTTTCTATGTATTTTACTTAAAAATCTGAAAATATTTAAAAATTGTTCTCCTATATTCTAGAATAACATTAATAATATTTTGTATTGTAATTATTGGATATACATATTCCAAAAGATCATTGTATTTAACATACTAATGATAATTTTATACTTTAAAAATGTATAAACAAATATAGGAAAGATATAAGTACAGAAATGAGTTAGATATTTTAAAATTCAGGCCTAATTTGATAGCAATTTCTCTGAAAATTTATAAACCTTTGTTGTATAATATATATAATAATTATTATATAATTCAAAAATAAATGAACATAAGGGAGAAATTATTGAAAGTTAAGTAATCTACGCCATTGTATAAATTGTAAACACCTCAGGTTTTATAAGAAGATTACCTAAATGCAAATTCAAAAAAATGGTTGACCAAAGGAATTGATATAACAGATTATTTTAATTATGGATTTAATGATGCCACTTTAAAATTATTCATCTAAAAGCTGAACAAATTAACTGATCTCAATTTAAGTAAGCTGCAAAAAGAATATACTGCTAGAATTACTTAATAAAAAGCTATGGTTTTTAAGGATAATATTCCAATTGATTATGGAGGTCTTGGTATAACTTCAGTGTCTGAATGTCTTCCTGTAGAAGTAGATTGTTCAAAGGAATCTTTGATTTTTTAAAGCATTGATTATGAAGGTGATTTGATATTTACTAATGAAACAATCCTTGATATATTTAGACATTACAAATAGTATTTAGAATAGCTAATTACAAATGGTGATTATTTTGATTTTGAAGTAGTTATGTAGTATCAGAAAGAAGATAATAAATGGTAAAAAGAATTAGAAAAACTATTAAAGAAGGATAGTAATTAATTAATAGATGAGTTACCTGATAAAAAAAGAATTAAACATGAAAAAAAGAAATCAAAAAAAGAAAAAAAATAAAAAAAGGAGAAAAAAAAAAAGCATAAAAAGAAATATTCTTCAGATGATTCAATTTAAATTGTTCCACAATAAATTGTAGTTAGATAAGATTCTCCATCTATAGAATCTAATAAAATAGAATGTGAATTATAAATTGATTCACTTTCAGATCATTTAAGTTAATAGCCTCAAGAAGAAATTTAACTTTCTTCCCCTTCTCCAATTCCAGAAATTCAATAATAATAAATACCACCACCATTAACTTAAGAGCCTATCAGATAGAGAAATCATAATTGGCCTAGAAATTTAATTCATGGAATTCTGTAAGGAAATAAAAATTAATAAAAAAGATGATTAATATTTTAGCCTAAATTAATTCAATTTTCTGTTGCAGAATTTATTCCCTACTTCTCTTCTTAATCTACAGGAGGCTTGTTTTGCTATTAAACATTTTATTTTTCTTCTGTAGTATTCTTTTTACTAATAAATAGCTATGTCCAAGAAAACATCCAATTAAATAAGTCTCCTATTGATAGTCCTTAGTCTTTATCCTAAGGATATCCATTTTTCATAATAACTATTCTAAAGCATTCTATCAAAATTGCTTAAAATAATGATATAATAAAGAATAACATAAAGAAATAGTAAAATAGAATTACTATCATTGAAACTATTGGAGAATAGTTTACAAATTAAGTGATATTTAATTATCCTTAAATCTAAGATTAAATAACATAATATACCATAGTTAATTAACTAGCAATTGCTAAAGTAAATGAAGAATATTAAGGAAATACATTTCCATAAATAATTTAAAAGACCATAACAAATCCTAAAAATAAAGGAAATTCTATAGCCAAAAAAGGTAACAATTCTTTAAAACTTTTACTATATGTTAAAAAGATAATAGCTACTCTATCATTCAATTTTAAAACATAAGATAATCTTAAAAACAAAAACATTATACTAATTGTTAAGAATAATTCTGCCTTTTTATATAAATCTGCCTCTAATTCTAAATGCTATTAAAGTAGTTTAAATCATTTACCACAAATTCTGATTAATTAACTAGATCTTAAGGATCTTAACCTTATAGTGATTATTATAATGACATTGCAACTGAAATAATTGTTAAAATTCCTACTCCACAATTAAAGAATCCTATTTCCATAGTTACATATAAAAATGCAGGTCCTAATTTACCAGTATTAATTTTAATCTTATAAAATCTATATGCAACAAAAGCTAATAATATACTAGCCATTATCAATTTTGTTATATCAATTTAAAATAAACGTTAACCATCATCTCCATAATATAAATTAGGAATAAATCCTGTTAATTCTGCTCTATAAGGTGTTAATTTATTTTAAGCATTTCTTTCTAATAAAAAATTAGCTTATATCCATAAATTGATACTAGGGTTGTAAATAACAAAATGAATAAAAATAACAGCAGTAGTAGCATCTAAAAATTATTCTTTTCTTAAATTGTTTATTTTCTCTAAAAATGCTTCTGTTGTGATATCTCTATTAAATTCAACTACATATCCTCCATCAGTATAAGTAGTTAGATTTCCTTTTTGAAAATATTTGATTCCTAAATCTTCTGCTGTTTAATATGTATAATTTAAGAAATCTGATTTATTTGCTTTATTAGAATCATAGACTACATCAAAACAACTAAATCTTTGTAATTCATTAACATATTTTTCACATTCATATAAATCACTTCTAAGAATTCTTAATTAAATGCCTCCTATTATCTCATAATTAGACCTAAATGGATTGTCTCCTTTATCAGAATTATACATTGTTGCTCCCAAAAAGTTTTCCATATAATAATAAAGTTCAGGAATTGAAGTTATTTTATTGTATTCTCCATTTGGAGTGATTCCTATTAAATTATTAATGAATGTGAAATTTAAATTTACAAATTAAGGACTTAAATAAGCTGTATAACTAAGTAAAGTTAATACTAAGATAACTACAATAGAACTTAAAATAAGGCAATTCATATCATCTAAATCAAATTTCTCTTCTTTTTTTTTATCAACATTTGCTTTTTCTAATTCTTTCTATTACTCTAGAAATTCTTTTTAAATTTATAATTCACTAATATAATATTTTAATCCTGGAAACTTTTCAAAAAATAGATTATATGTATCAATAGCTTTTATTCTATTTTTATGTACAGTAAATGCTCCTTAATAACTGGCAGTTTTATTACCACCATTTATTTTTATACTTTCTATTTATAAACTATTTAATGCAGGTTTAACTGTTTTTTTTTTTTAAAGTAATAATGTAATCTAAGTAATATTAGAGATTCCCCTATTTGTAAAAAATTCTATAACTTTCTCTTTTAATTCTATTCTAGAATGGTTTTCATCTGTTAATTCTAAATCATCCATAATTTCACTATCCTTTTCATCAAATTTTCTCAAATATGGAGCCAAATTCCAATAATAAAATGCCAGTTCTTTTAAATTTTAGAATGTTGTTGCTGAGTCTAAACGAAATGATGAACTTTCACCTTATTCAATACCTTCAATAGTGTATTTTATATTAATAGTAGGATAAGGATTGATATACTCATCTTTTTCTCCATTTTTTTTTCTATTCCCTTAAAACTTAACCATCTATTTATTCGTTTAATCCAAATACTAGTTAAAAAATTCTAACATTTGCATTTTCTCTAATTAAATCTCTTACTAAGGAGGTTTTTATATCTCAGTTTAAGGTTAAACTTCTTTTGTAGTAGTTGAATGTTTAACAGTAGCATGTCCTACACTTAATGTTTAATCATTCAATTCAAGTACCTTTTTTTCTCTTTACATTTTCCTTACTTTTTCCTATCTATTAATTATTAGATATATACTTAAACCCAATTTATTTTTTCTAATCTCAAAGTATTATCATTTTTTAATTTGGTAATCTCTCTCTTCTTTGAATCAATTTCAGAATGAAGCCTATTAATTTCACCTTGAAGACTTTTCATTTAATCCTACAATGACTCTCCTTTCTTTTCAGTCATCTGGGATTATAATAATTTAATAAATAGACATACTAATTTTTTAATCAACACTATAAATTTTATAATCAACTATCCTAACTACAATCTTAATAAATAGAATCAATCTCTATTTTTTTCAGATATTTAATTTAAATACTCATAAATTCTATATGTAATCAATAAGACAAGATCAAGTTTCTTATACTAGTTTTATATTTCCTTTTATTTTTTTGTTTGTATTCTAATATCAAAAGTACTAACATTAACAACAACAAAATTTAGAATGAATAAACCTACTTGGTTCTTTTTTAAGTAATAATTTATGATAAAAATTTTTAGTTTCATGTTATAATAAAATGTAAAATTGATTTAAATTATTCTTAATAATATTTCATTCCTTTTCTAAAGCATTCATTGTAAAAGATTCATCCTTAATCTGATTAAAAGTTTAATTATCTAGAGTATAGGATTTAGTTGAGAATGAATGTAGGTATTTGGTTATTGGGAAATTGACTAAAAAAATTTAAAGATTTAAATCAACAAAATGAATAAATATAAAATCAATTAGAAATTACAATTTTATAATTAATTTTAAATATATCTTTCTAAACTTTCTAAATGATTAAGTTCTATTATTATTTAAAAATAGAAATTCATTGTTTTTTCAGTTCGTTTTGTAAATATCAATAATTTAATTTTCCTATATTGAAATAAAATATTTTAAAATACTATAGAAGATTGAGTAATATCAGAGTTATATTATTTATTGTATAATACAAAAATTATTCAAATAACTTAAGGATATATAGGAATAAAAATAATTATAAGGAAGACTTGATGCTTTTTCAAAGAGTTGTATTATATATAAATACAATTAATTACTTTTCTATTTGATTTCCATAAAATTTGATTAATTAGTACTACTTTTTATATTTTTTCAGCTTAAAAAAATTTGTTATAATGAATAATAAAAATAAATTATCAATTTTAATATTAATTACTTCTCTTCAAAAATATCTTTTATTTCACTTTTATAATGTAAATTTATTTTACAATGTTTATTTCTTATAGAATTGATTGATAAGCCTTGAATAAAAATTCAAATATATTAAATTCAGCTAATCGAATATCCAATTATTAAAATCCAATCACATTTTATGATAATTAATTTTATAAATATGTTTAAGTTTTTTTCATTTATTAAAAAGCGTTATTGATGCAAAATACATGTACTAAAAATTGATTTACAAATTTAATACTCTTTTAAAAATTATAATTTTTTGAGGATTGCTAAGATTCCACTTTAAAAAAATTTATCTAAGAAAAGTTTTTAATGATTTTTATAAAGAAGAAATTGTGTGTAATAAATATATAAATCAATTTTCTATGGAATCATTTTGATAAATTATTATGATTCATGTTTGATAGTTGATAATAATTGTATTTCCTAATACTTTTTTTATTTATTCGTATGTCAACGAAAAAATTATCATTTCCTTTTCTTGTTTCTTTTACATCACATGTTTTCTTTAAGTTTATTATGCTAGTTATAGCTGTAGGAGTTGGTCTTTTATTCTTTTTATAATAATGAATCAAAGACTTAGCACTTGAATAATTCATTCCCAATGATTTCGCAACCTAAATTTAGTATACAAGCTTATAACCTGTTTTATTCGTTTTCCTTATTAAAAGACCATTTAAAACAATAAGATTTGTGTTTTTAATGGAATTTTATGGTAACGTTTAGCATCAGCATCGGTTGTTTAACTAACTCGACATTATTGTGATTCAAATTTAAACTCTGATGATTCTGATTAACTCTCTTGGTTAAATTCAGAATAAAGTTACTCATCAAAGGTAGTTTTGCTCATTTGAATATATATTTACTATAATTTATTAAAAATGATCCTATGTTATCAGGTCTTAATTATATTTTATTATTAAATATATAAATATTCAAACAAAAATATGGATCTAATTTCTAAATTCCATTATAAATTGCAACTATTATCTAACTAATATTTTTATTAACAATAAATATAAATACTCTTGCACATTTAAAATAAGAAAATAAAAATAATTATTTTACTAATTGTTATATAATGCAATCTAATTTAGAAATATTCATATATTGAAGAATCTAATTCCTAATTTCATTTTGTATTCTATTTATATAAGACCTTGTTTCATAACTAATAAAATTATTGAATCCTCTGAAAATCTAGTTGCTAAATAAATAACTTTGTTACTTTATGAGATTTAAAGATCTTATAAGAGATTTTAAAAAATATTTAAATAAATCAAATAAATTAAAACGACTTTTAATCAAGATAGCTATTATAGTAATAATACTAATTTCAGCTATTAATTTTATTCTCATTTAATCAAATAAATAAAAAAGAAGTTAATTAGAAAATTTAATTGTTTTAGAAAATCTAATTTAATTTTTATGAAAATGAAAAATGAGAAATCTTAAACCCCATAATTAATAGATTATTTTTTAATTTATTAAAGGTTATTATAATAATAATAATGAATTATATGTAGCTTTTTAATAATATCAATATTACTAATTTAATTTTAAAATCAACTCAAATAAGTTCATAAAATCATTAGAAAATTTAAATAATTTATTAGATTTACATAAATCTTCTTAAATAATTATTTTAGATTATATTAAATATAATGATATTTCATTCTTTCTTTCCTTTAATTGAATTCCATAAGGAACTTACATTTGATTTAATTTAATTCCAATTTTTTTGAATATTTTCAACACTATCTTCAAAATTTTTGGCTTTATTTTAATATTCTTCCTAAAAAATATTAAATAAATTTTAATACAAATTTTTCTCTTTAATATTGTTCATATTCTCTTTATCTTAAATAATCTTCATATGCCTCTCTTTCCCTTTCATTATAATATTAATTTTTTCTCTTTTCTTATTCATAATATTATTATCTTGCTTAGTGTTCTCGTTATTTCCTTAATAAAGCTTCTTGTGCAAATTAATTTAAAGCTTCTTCTCTTCTCCTCATTTCTTCTTCATAATTATTTCTATGACCCTTTTATTAATATTATTATTATTATTATTGCTAATAGTAAAAATTTTAAGAAGCTTATTTAAAGGCTTATTCATATGCTGTTCTTGTATTCCATTTTTAACTTTATTATTATTTTCATATACCTATAATTTTAATTAGTACGATATGATTATTATTATTGATTAGCGTAATTTCTACGAGGATCTTAATATTACTCAGAATGTTAATAACTTTATTAATTTGATCCAAGATTTCTCATATTATCATAATCTCTTTTAGTATTTTCATCTGAAAGTATCTATAGAAGTATTCAAAATTATAACTTCATAAGCTTCATTGACTTCCTTAAACTTTTCTTCTCTTCCTTAATTAAGATCTGGATGAAATTTCTTTGCCAAAGCATAATAAGCCTTCTTTATAGCATTTTAATCATTTGTTTAGGATATATTGAGTATAGCATAGTAATCTTTATGGTGATTAAATTTAGCAATAGCAAAGAAGCATTTATAACAATTCATAATAAGAATAATATAAAAATTTTGATTTATTTATTTATGCTAATTAAGCACTTATATGTATAATGAAAGAATTCCAAATTAGATGATTTATATATTTATATATATAACTTGTATTTGTCTAAAATATAATAAACTCATTTATTTTTAATTTGAGTTTCTTACTATTTAAGTGCTTCTTGTATATCCATTATATTTGTTTCTACAACAATGCCTGCAACAATAATTTCATCAATTAAAGCATTCATTTTATCTGGATGATAAAGCACATCAAGTTCACATGCATTTTCAAAGATCTTATCCATTAAATCAACAATATTTTAAATTAAGTCAAGAACACCTAATTCAGATTCATCTTCATCAATTACTGCAATGAAATACAAAGTTCCAAAAAATCTCATAACAATTTTACATTTTTTATCATAAATTCCATCCAAGTCCTTAAAGAAATTACAACTATTTGGACTTAATTTGCTAGTCAATTATATTAACTTTTATTCAATTTATTGCTATCTAGCGACTAATTTTAAAGAGAATTAATACACTCTACTTCATCATAAAAACGACGAATACGAATTTTTCCACTGCTATTTACAATTAAAAAAACTTTAATCATTTTAATTAATATGTAAATATTTTATGTAATATAAATTTAATTTTTTATTAAATAATGCCATGTAATTTTATCATATATAATAATTGGGAAAATCAAGAATTATTAAGTATTTCCAGTTAGTAAGTAACATCTTTTTTTAGATTATCATTTAATAAAATCAATAAATTCATTTAAGTATAATTATAGAAAATTTATTGATTTTAAATTATTGATTTTTTTATAAAGACTTCATATTGAATCCTGTAAATTTTATGAACTAATTATATATATTTTAAGATATGAAATCAAGTATGATGTTAAAATTCAATTTGATTTTTCATTGAGTTTATTTTAATGACTTTTTTGAGTTATAAAATTTAAAAGTTGTATAATAATTATAATACTAATAAAATTATAATTATTCAATTTAAAAAAGATTTAAGGATAAGTAAGTGTTAAATATTTATTAATTTGATTATTAAAAATAGGATTCTTAAAATAAAGTCTTGAAATCAAAACAATTTTTCAATATTCATAAAAACAATTTGATAAAAAATGATAGATGTATAGGAGTAGTCTAAATAGGCATATTGATATAAAGAGAAAGTAGGTAAAATATATTAGAAAAATTTTCAAAAAAGATTCCAAACAAAAGGTAGTTCCAAGAAAGAAAATTATGATTATCAATTACATATATTAATTTTTTTTAAATAGTTTTAGCTTACAAGATAGAAGCTCCATTTTTAACAAAAAATATCAATTAACAATGCTAAAAAATCCTAAAGCTCTCATCAATAAAAAAAGGTACATTAATAAAAAATTAATTAAAAATAGTTTAAAATGTATCTTACATTTTGTGAGATAAATTTTATTTATTGTTTAGAATTGATGTATAATTATAAATCATATGATTATTAAATTACTTAATTAATTTTTATCCATAGTTGTTACTGTATGACTTAATTAGAAATGTTTTTTAAAAAAATTAATTGTTTCATCCTGAATAATTGCATATTTTTTAATAAAATTAAAATAAGAATTATGTTAAATATGCTATGATTAGATTTAATTAATTTATGAAATATATTAAAAACTTGATCTTAACATTTGAGAACAAGATATTAGAATAGCAATATTAAATAGAAAAAAAAGGATCAATCTAATAACCGATTTTCGTTTTTATTATTGTGACATCTTTTATTTCAAACTTAGTTGTTCTTGGATTCCATTTTTTTGATCATTAGATTGAAACCTGGTATTTGAATATAGCTTTTAGTATCCTATCTATTTTACTATTCGTCTTAGTTGTAATAATGAAATAAATTTAATACCTCTAAGATGCTCTTACTATCGTAAATATCACTTTAGGTTTTTTGGAATTGAATGTTGATCCAGCAACAACTGAAAAATTAGAATTTTACTCATATGGAAATACATTTATGTAACTTTAAGCTGTTGTATATATTGTCTCTAATTTTGGTCATGCTTTCATTTAAGTCTTTTGTCATTTAATTTGTCGTTTTGTACTTACAATACTTTTATCAAAAAGAACTGATTATCTCCTCATCTTTATTGGTATAATAAGTAGTTTTGTAATACTGGTGGCTATTTATTATAATGAAAAAAATTCAAGAAAGTACTTTATATAGAATTTAAAAGAAAATTATTGGGAAAATAATACTTCCTTTATCATAGAATAACCTTATATTAGATTTAATTTTCGAAAGGAATAATTATTATTTAATTTAATAAAATGCCATAAAATTGAATGTTTTCCTGGTTATGATAATTTTTATTGTGAAGGATGTAATATTAGAAAGTTATTAAGAACTTATTTTATTGAAAAAAATATCTCTGTAGAAGATTTATTACTTTAGTATAAAACTGAATTGCCCTAAAAATTTTTCATTTCTTATAAAAAAAGAAAATATTTATTAAAAATATGTAATGTGGATATACAATAAGTTCAGTATTTAATAATTCTTGATAAAATTAATATTACTACATCCTAATAAGAAGAAAAAAAAGAAATACAATAAGCAAATTTTATTAAATTTCTTAGATCAAATAAAAAACATATTTATTAACATTTTTTTAATTGGGGAGCTTAATCTTTATTATTTTTAAATAAAAAAATTATAAAAAAAATCAACTTATAAGAATTAATGATTAAATTACTTAAGGTATTTAGAATTTATATATTTCAAAAAATATCTATTAAAATTATAACATAAGATTAGAATACTTCAATATTTTCATTCTATTATTAAACTAAAATATTCATGATGTAGCTTTTTGAAATACTTTCTACAATGTAAAGAACAAATCAATTATAATCATAAATAATACTAAAAAGAAAAGGATGTGATATCTTAATTCAAATAACAAATATTGACCAATAATCTTTTATGAAATAGTTTGAATCAAATTTCTTTTTACAAAATCTTTCGAGTTTATTACTACATAATGTTGAAATGTAATAGAGTATTTAATTGCATTTTCGGAATTATCCAATAAAATCATTTGCATTTAATGCTTGAATTTGAGTTCATACTATTTCTTTTATTTAAATATGTATAAATCTTTATATCATATAATAAAATTCATCTGTTTATCCAATTTAAATTTTTTAATTTTAAATATAAAGTAAACAAATCCTAATGAAGATTTGTATACTTTCTTATTTGATTTGAAATCAAAAAGAAATTAGTTCTAAAAATAGTTATTTAGAGTATAAAACTTATGCTTTATAATTTTCTAAATAGCAAAATTTATTTTAGGATCCATTTAAATTTAAAACGTGTTGATCATTTACATATTGATATGAATTTGTTATAGATAATTTAATTGAATCTATATTATGAATAGATAGATTAATAATTATTAAAACATATTTATTTAGTAAAATTAACTTAGAAAAAGTTAATGAGTGGAATCTATTTTTAATATGATAAGTATTATTATTTAAGGTAAATGATTTCTGTTTATTTCTGGCCACGTCAGCAAAATAATATATTAGTACTTTTTTATTCATTATTCTGTAAGAATAATAAGTTTAACTAAAAAATAAATAAATGAATTTTATTGATTAAGATGATTGTAATATACCTTTCGATTATGAGGATGATTTGATTTTTCCACCATGTTATGAAAATATAGAAACACCTGAACATAGCAAATCTACAGATTTAGAATAAAAGTTCAAAAACGATAGAAAAGAAAGAATTTAAAAAAAAAGAATTGAAAAAAAACACAAAACAAAATCTGAATCAAATAATAATCTTTCAAAAGAAGAGTTAAGAAAATTAAGAAATAGAAATTCAGCTTAATAATCAAGAGATAGAAAAAAATAATAATTTGATTCTTTAATCTTAGAGAACCAAAATTATTAGATGCTACTTAAATAAAAAGAAGATTAAATTTAATTATTAATGGAAGAGAATAATTAATAAAGATTAAAAATATAATATTTAGAAGAGTTAAAGTATATATTAATAAAATTTTGATTAGTTAAAATTAGAAATGTATGAATTGTGCTTAAGAAGCAAGTCATGAGATGATAAGAGTAAATGTCATTACTAAATAAAAGATGATGAATTATGGTTTATTATCTTTATTGGCAATCACTTGTATATTGTCTATTGTAAATAATGATTATGAATTTTCACCAAAACCTATATCACTTCATTAAATTTCACACTAAAAATATGACTTTTTAGCACCAAAACAATAATTTTCAAATTCAACATAATTGGCAATCTATAATAATTTAGCTATACCAGAACATTAATTTAATAATTAAACACTCTTTTATAATTGTACAGGTAATGAAAAAGAGTGTTAGACGTTTTTAAACATCATAAAGGCTGAAAATGCTAATAATTTATATTTTGTAAATGATGCCTCAGATCAAATACCTGCTACATAAGACCATCATTTCGATTAAGGAGAAAATGTCTATTTAATCAAAATAAAATAAGATGATGAAGATAACTTTATGATTTTTAGGGCAAAATGTTAAATTACAGAAAGTAACAAGTTATTGTTCGAAAGGGATAGTTACGATTCATTTAATAATAATAGCTTGTAATACTGATTTTTATTCTCTTCATTTTATATAAATTCTATTATTTTTTTATAAAAGAAATTAATAAATTTTTAATATTTTATATGTTAAAATATTTTACTCAAATAGTGCCAGTATTTATCTACTATTTTAGCAATTTGTACAATATAAGAATAAGATAAAATTTATTTTTTATTAACTAAATAAATTTATCTCATTTTGCTTATAAATATTAATAAGAATGTTATGAAATCAAAAATAATGATCAGATCATTTAAATTATTATTAATTTATTGCCAGAATTACGATAAATTTATACTTCTTATAAATAAAACTAATGATTTATTTAATAATTCTATCCTATTTTTAAATTTCTAAAATTAATTTCTTTTTATTTTTATTTCATCTTATTTTACTAATTACTTGAAACTATTCATTTATTAAATGGTTTATATTAAATGACATAACTATTCTAGCTAATAATTAAATTAATTAGATGATATTTATTATGTTATTAGATGAAATATAAAAAGTTTAATGGATAACTTGTTATTTTATTTTAATATTGAATGCTTAGAGTGTAAACTTTAATTTAATTTTTTATTTAATATTTCTATCAAAATAGAAGATTAATAAAATAAAATGTTAGTTTTAAGTAAAAATTGACATATATAATATTTATAATATAAATCATATTTATAATTTCATTTAAGGCTTCTCTTTTTCATATTGCATCATATGGTTTTATAGATTCATTTGTTTGTATATTAATTTCAATTTTCTGTTAAAGTGAATGAATTCGTCTATATCCAGAAAATGTCACCTATTAAATTTCCACTTTTGGTTATTCTTATTTATTTAATTATCCTTCTTATTATTACACTTTTAATGAATTTTTGTTTGCTTCATTAATTTTCGATGCTTCTTTAACTTCAACCCACCTTCCGTTGACAAGAACTTATTCTCAACCATCTTCCTCTAAAATATTTTTTCCATCATTATATATATTAATAGCACATCAATAATAAATTAATTTTATTTATATAAATTTGTTTTAATAAAAATCTATTTTATTTAATATTAGAAATATTTTCTTTCTAAAAAATTTAAATGTTTATAAAAATTAAAGGTTTACTATTTGTTGAATTTAGTTATATAATATAAATTTTAATTAAATCTTATTTATAACAAGTCAATTATTATAATCTCCTAAAAAATAATTATTCAATCCAAGTTCTTCTTATTTTTGTTCTTTTTTCATTTCAAAATAGGAAAATTATTATTATCTTTAAATTTCCTCTTTGGCTCTCTTTTACAATGTTAATATTACACAATCAGGATAAACTTTCTTCTCTCTAAATTATTCAATCCGACTCTATTATAACAAAATAAATTTACCTTATCTAATGTAATTAATAATCCTGCTGCTTATTTTGGTTCCAGAACATCCCATATTTCATCAACTATAGTTTAGCATTTTTCACTCTCTTTAACAATTGATTGTTGTATTTTATATATCTCAATAATTAAATTATCATAATTTGATCTTTATTCTTGTATTATTAATTGCATATTTTATATTTTTAGAATTTAATCATCGTCTAATCCAAATGAATTTAAGCAATTTATTTAACTGTCACTCATATCAAAGGAATAAAACTCACTCGATTATCTTTCTCTTTTGAATATATCAACATCTAAAATATTAAAAATTAGATTACTTTCTGAAGCAACCCAAAATAAATATCTCATATGCATTGGTAATAATAAATCAATAAGTAATTCACATACTTTATTAATTGCCATTAAACGACCTTAACCTGATATACCATATTTAAATCTTAATGAATTTGTAATAACTTTTATATTAGCCTCATTTCCTTCTTAATATGCTTTCTCTAACATATCAAATTATTGTTTTCTATCAATTAAAAATTATTCCATTAGCTACATCAAACTAGGTTTGGATTCTACTTTCTTATTCTAATTTAATTGAGCAGTTAATTAAGTCACCTCACACTTTTATTAATTATAAAACCTTTTACTCTAAACTCTCAATGTATGCCTTCTTTCTCTATCTAGTGTTTTTAGCACTTTATCTTGCTTTTTCCTTTTTATTATTTGTATCTGGAAGATCCAATTTGAAGTCAATTTTATCATGGTACTTCTTTCTTATTTTTTTTTCAGACATTATAATTTTATAAAAATATTGATATAAATTATCAAATTTACCAATCATTAGCAATATACTCTAAAGAAACTCTAAGAGTAGTTACTGTTCTTTTCTCAGTTTCAATTGTGGGATCAGTATTACAAAAATCATCCACATAATGAATAGATGCAAATTTATTCTAAAATTCACTATATAAGATGATGTAAATCATAACTGGTAATTCATCATCCATTGTTGATAATTCACAATTACTATTTTCATATATTATAGCTAATCATATTATATATTAAAATCTATACATTTTATTAGACATATCATTTATTATATTGATCTAAGTTTATCTCTTGGATTTGTAGATTTATCCACTTTATTTAATTCAGCAATCCCATTCCAATATTATTGATTTAATCTATATTTATTTTTTATTTCTAGGAATTCCATGGTTTCATGTTCACTACACTTGGCAATAATTTTTTATCTCTATTTTCATTTATCAATACTTTTTGATGTTAAATTGATTTTCATTCTTTTCATTGAAATCAATATAAAAATGAAATAGCTTATCATAAACCGATTCAAACACTACTTTCTCTATTGCCATCAAATAATATTGATAATCATATTTCAATGTTTTTTATTTAAACTGCTAAAATGTATCAAGAACCAATTACGAACTTTCTTGCATATATTTCTATAATTATTATTTCTTTGGCTTAGCTATTGAATCAATGTCTTTTAAAATAGCATTCAACTTTTATTTAAACTCTTAATTGTCTTCCAAATAAATATAAATTCTATTCATTGAAATTGCTGTAATAGCAAATGGATTAATATGACTCATATCATCTACAGGCTCAAAATCCTTATGTGTTTGATTATATCTTTTAACCACAAAACATACAGATAATAATACATCTTCATTCAATTTATAATTCTAATTATTATAATAATTATCTTTACTCCAGATAATGCATCAATTTTGAGTTTCTATTTTGAATATTTAACCAAAATAAGGCTATTGTTACTTTAACTTGCTATGTAAGTTGGAGTACACACATTCTTAATGATCTTTTAACAAAAAGAATCAAGCTTAGTTTAAAGAAACATCATTTAATTAGCTTCTCTCATAATACAAGTGTAATTACTTAAAATATTAACAAATATAAATTACTATTATTTAAGTTCAAGTGCTATCTAATCAAATACTGCTGGAGATTAACAATTTAAAGTAATTTAAGGTAATAGATGACCATTTAATTGCATATTCGAGTGTTCTATAAGACTTTAGGATTCTCCTGTTCTACGTTTTCTAATCTCTGTTTGCATAATGCTTTTCTAAACTAAAGTTTCAATTCTTTCACTATGACTGTAATCTATCATGGCCTTAGGAGAATCCCCAAGATGGAATTATGATGTCATCAATCCACTATCCCCATCAATATGTCCGTAATTATGCATGAACAATTATTTAATATATAAAATTTTGAAAATTAATGAATAGATAATATTAAGAAAGAAATTAAAACAGAATTCAAAAAAGAAATAAAGGAAAAATAAATGTCTTATTTTAATGAATTTGATTTTATTTAGAAAGATCTTTGTTATTGAATTGATTAATATTTGGAGATTGGGTGAAATTTTTATTTTATGCTTAATGGTATTATGATAAATCAATCAATATAATTCCACCTCATAACAATCATTTAAAATACCACAAGTATTTCCAGGTGCTAATCTTATATATCCAGATTCCCCCCAAGTAGTTCCAAAAGATGCTTGAACAAACCAATTATCTGATGAATCATAACCAACAGCTAATGCATAATAATTTGTATTGCTAGAAGCAGAACTACAATCAGAAAATATACCAGAACCATAGAATTACCATTTACTAGCATCTCCAATCAATTGGCCATTTTTTATTTTCTTTATTAATTGGTTCAGAAGATTTATGTATATTGTTTCTTTTAACTTTATCTTAATTATTTAATTATTCAGATGATTTAGTATTTAAATAAAGTCTAATAAATTCTTCATTTGTAATAGTCATAAATTGATTTTCTGCCATTTAATAAGTAATATCATTTCTTTTGTTATGTTAATCAATCATTTATTTATTTTGATAATAAATTGTTTATCTGTATATTTTCTCATCTCCATAATAAATTTTGCCATGTTTCAAAGCCCATCTTTCAAAATCAGAAGCAGAATCTAAATTTACTTAGTAGAAACCCAAACCAATTAGTAGAGTAGTCAACGTGCCTGCAATTATATTTTTCATTAATTATATTCAATTTATTTTAATAACCCAAAAAAAAAATATAATTTAAATTATTTTGTAGAAAATCTTTTTATTCTATAAACTCAATTTAAAGTAATCTTGCCATAATTTAAATCAGTTATAATAAAATTATATTAAATTAAGAAAAATACATTATATTCTGTGGATAATTATAATTATCTATGTGTATTAACTGAAATCATACATTCATATATGTAGATGATATTAATGAGTTTATTTAATATTTAATCATATTTTATTAAATATAAAATTAGTTAAACAATATGTGTATCCATATAGTTGAGTTAAATTTCTAATATTATGTTATATTCAAATAATAGAGATAATTAATCAATTTGTTTTATTCATTAATTAATGATTATCTTAAGAATACATAAAGAATATGGTATAGAATTAGTTTTTATTTCAGAATCTTCAAATAAGTTAATTTAATTATTTATTTATTTAAATGCATATCTAAAATGAATAATATTTTGATAAATCAAAAGTTTTCTAATTTTTATAAAGAAATATGGAAATTTCTAAAGTACATTATAATTTTTAGAAATAAAATGATTTAATGATAAGAATATTTTGTAAAATTAGTTTAGTAGTAAAGAAAATGATAATATTTCTTTGATTGTATAATTATCTTGAAATCAAGATTAATTTGAATATCGTTTAGTTCTATTAGCAAAACTTATTATTATATTCTAATCAGATATAACGTATGTTTATTGACAAGAGTAATATAATATTAATTCATTAATTTATAGATAATTAAGTATGCATTAAAAGACATCTTCAAATTAAAAGGTGTTCAACAATTAATATCAGATTGTAAAAAAGCTTTCATCAGGTTCATTTGGTGTAGTATTTCTTGGAAATGACTTGTTGACAAAATAAGAAGTAGCAATAAAAGTTGAGAAAGAGGAAAATGAGGAAGTTCGTTCACTTGAGAGAGAAGTGTAGATTCTAAAAAAATTAGATGGAGCAGAGGGATTTCCTAAATATTATTGGTCTGGTGAAGATTAAGGCTATAATATTTTGGTAATATAATTGTTGGGGAAGGACTTAGCTTATCATTTTAAACAATTAAAGAAATTCTCACTAAAAACAGTATTGACAATAGGAATATAAGCTGTGCAGATTTTAGAGAGGTCTCATTAAAAAGGAGTTATTCATAGAGATCTAAAACCAGAAAATATGATTCTTGGTATTGGTAGAGAAATCTCAAAATTATACTTAATTGATTTTGGCATAAGCAAAATATATAGAGATTCAAATGGGAAACACATGTAAGATAGAGGAATTAATAGATAGATCATTTAAAGAATAGAAATCCTTTTTAGGAACTACAAGATATGCATCGATAGCAGCTCATTTAGGACATGAATTAGGAAGAAAAGATGATCTTGAGTCGTTAATGTATATTTTATTATACTTTTTACGTGGGTATTAAGTTATTTAATACTTAAGATAGTTGCCATGGTAGAATATGGTTAATGTCACTGATGATGAGAGAACAAAAAAGGTTGGAGAAATGAAATTATCACTTGAACATGAATTATTTAAAGATTAGACAGGAGAATTATAAAGAGTATATGAGTATAAACATTAATTAGATATAATAGTTACATAAGAAGATTATAATTTAAATAAGAACCTAATTATAAAATGATATTATAAGAATTGAAAAGAGCAGCAGATTCTATGAATACTGTTATTGATGGTAATTTTGATTGGACTGAAATAAAATCATCTACACATTATTAGACAGATACAAATTAAAATTTAAGTCGTAATAATATTCCACTTAATTCTAATGAGATGAAAAAGTCTATAGAAAAATAATTATCAGGTCTTGTATAACATGGGTATTCTTTAATTATTATAAAGCTCTAATAATCTATTGGCTCCTCCTCCAGTAGGTTCTACTCGTAATGCAATATAGAGAGATGATATTCGTAAGAATTCAAGTCTCACATAATAAAGCAGTATTAATTATTGTTAATCTCTCAATCCAAATTATTAGAAATCAATTTGTGAAGAACCATTAAATGAAGAATAATAACGTTATTATTATGATTTTGATAGTGTTGAAATAAGTGAGAATCAAAAAACAGATAGTTCTCTTCATAAAAAATATGACAAAATTAAAATGGGAATTTATGTGTAATTTATTAAATAATATATATCTTAGGCATTTTCTCCCAAAAACAATAAAACTAAAATGATTTTTATTATATATATAACTTAATTTTATCATTATTTTTTAAGTTCTTTCAAAAAGGCTTAAATAGTTTAAGAGGTTCTCTTTTTCTTTAATAAACTAGGATTTATTTTAATTAATTTTAAGTATATAATGGTATCAATCGATATACCATTTACAGACATAAAAAGATCTCCAATCACATATGTTAATAGAACCTAAATGTATTTTATTTATAATACCAAAAGATACGCTGAATATGCCAAGATAAATTATGAAATGGATAAAACTATAGCATTGGATCATAACCCAGAATATAGATGATAAATCAAGTTATAACGAATGACATTTTAATTTTAATGATTAAAATATTATTATTATTTCTATATAAAAATATGATATAACATCCTTTTCCTGAAAGAATCCTCTCAACACCTTTACATCAACTTCCTTATATTGTTAGTCAAATAAATAGTCAAATTCATAAAACATCACATGATATGACTAAATATTTAGAAGAGAATATTCAAGTGTGTATGGAGTAACATAATAAAAAAATTCAACTACGAAAATAAATCTATGACACTAATGAATAATATAAAATATTAGAAAATGTTGGTGCACAATTATAGATGGCTATAGCTAATTTAAAAGGGCAATCAATTGAATAAGAAAACTAATCTCAAGATAATGAGGAAAAATTAATGAATGCAATTAAAAACTAAAATTATGATGAAATGTGTAAATTGTTCCAAACAATTAAAGATGAAGTATTATTAATTAAATGCTCTAAAATTGCTGCAAATTTATTGGCAACTCCAACAAAAATTAAAAGAATAAAATCAAATAATTTCTTGAGATTATTTCTAATCATCTTCTTATTTCATAATAATAAAAGGATGAAATTATTGAGATTTGTGTTAAGGTTTGTATTTAAAAATGCTTTAAAATGTACTTTCAATAAAATGTATGGAATACAAATAAAAATTAAGCCACTTATTATTCAGATATTATATAACTTTATTAAAAAAGGTATAAATAGATTATGATGTAGTTTTAATTGCACATTTAAACTTTTATCAGTTTTTAATCTACCTAATTATCATTAAGCACATATTGCCAATAATATATTTCAAAAGTTTAATTAGAATGTCTTAAATCATTTAATTACTCATGATAATAAAGAAAAATCAATAGCAGTTATTTTAAACTTTAAAAATGTTTAATAAAATAATTTATTCTATCATTTAACTAATATCTATTGTAAAAATCAATTAATTCCTATAATGAAATAAGAATTGCAAATTAAAACTCTCTTACTAATTATAAGAAATCTATATATAAAATAAGACTAATAACTCTTAAATATAGTAAATAAAAAGGATACTCAATAACTTTTAGAATGGTGCAAATAGAGTAAATAAATTAATTATAATTTAAATTTATTTTAAGCATTATTTGATACTGAAATGTAATTATAAATTGATCTGCTTATTTGATTTTAATAATTTTATTCATTTTTATATAATATCAAACAATTAATTCATAATTATAATTATTTTAATCATATAGTTTACAAATGAATAAATTAATCTTTTTAAAATATATGTTTATTTTTGTAATTATTAAAATATTATTTATATTTATTGATTTTGGAATAATACAATTTTGAATAGACATATTTGATAATCATTAATCATTCAGGATGGATAAATTTTTTACTTATTATTATTTTAGCAACATCTCCAATTAATTAATTTAATCGAATGTTTTTGCATTTTCAAGTAATTTCTTAATATGATCTTTATCAATTGTGGCATCTTTCAAATTTACTAAATTCATGTAATCTGTCAATTCATCAGGTTTAAAGGATTCAACTGCTTTTTCACGTTCCTAAAACATAATTATAGAGGATTAACTGCCAATGTCACTTTATTGAAATCTAATACTTTGAGATTAGGTAAAATGGCTATAACTTTATAGCGATAATCAGGTTGTTGAGTAATGAGATTACCATGCAAAATCAAGCGTTTTAACTTTTTGCAATTTCTTAATTAATACATTTCATTAATATCTGTAAGTCTATTGTTCATTAGAATTAAGTTTTCAATGTTAGGTAATGAGTCAGAAATATCACTTAATTTGATGATTCTGTTATTGGATAAATTTAAAGTTTTTAATCTAGAATAATGAATTAATAATTAATATACCTTTTCAATAAAGTGAGATTTCCTAGTTTCTTGATATCATTATCACCTAAATCAATATGGTCAAAAAAATCCTATCATAAAGATTTTTGATACCAAAGTAGCTCCTAAATTTTCAATGGCTGTTATTTTCTTGGCTATAAAGTATTAAAGAATAGAAATACCTCTTAAATCTAGTTATCGTTCATTTAATGGATTGATGAAATGATGGGACCCTTGAATCAACTCAGAATTAATTTTCATAAATTATATAAATTTATATTTAATCATTTTATGAGAATCTAAAGAATTAAAAGTAAAAGGTTTATTTATTCCCTCTAATATCATAATAAAACATATTCAAAATCTTCTCTAAATTAATTTACAATATTTGCATACTTCCTTAAAAATTCAAATAAATAATTAAGATTTTTTTAAATTCATGCTTCATTTAATAATAAAGTTATTAATAATTGTTTTAAATGATATGTCATAATTAATACTTACTAAAAAAACTCACTAATTGAATATCTATATTAAGTACACTATTTAATTTATTTAAGTTTTTAGATTATTATTAATTAAATAAAATTAATAAAATCATTACATGTTTTTTAAGTAAGAAGTTTAATATATAGTAGTTTTGGTCGATTTTATGGATTTGGTATGCAATCTAAATTAGATAACTTGCTTAAACAAGAAAATCTTACATTAGAGACAATCTTAATTGAGGATGACATATTACAAGAATTAAAAATGTCTAGCTCTAAAAAGTTTGCTGACTTGTAAAAATTTTAAATAGTATTTTAGCATTATTTAACATCCTAATGAATACAAAAAAATGATCCATTACATTATTGATGATGTCTAACCATAAGAATAAGATATACCTAAATACATTAAGTAATTTGTTTATGAGATCATATAGATATCAATTTATCATTAGTGAAGTATTTGGTTCCGAGAATGAAAAACTTATTAATTATTTATTTGATAAATCTATTGATAATACTCAAGAAGATATTTAAAATTCACATGATGATTAAAAAACTGAATCTCAACCTATTCAAGAATAAGAAGAAAAAGAATAAATTAGATAGCAACTACTTGAAGATTTCCTTCAAGTTTTAGAAAATGATACTCTAATTGTTACTACAGCTGGCTATGTTAATAAGATTATTGGAGCCATTATTCATAGAAGAGGACATGATGTAAAAATCTATTACAATTATAATAGTTTTGGGATTTTATAATAAAAAATTCAAAAGTCATAACAAATCTATTTAAGCATGCAGAACATAAACACATAACTGAAATCATAGAAAAACTGATCATTTTAGACACAAATGAAGAAGAAAATGATGATAAATTATATATTAATGAAAGATCTGAATTAATTACAAGATTGCAGAAATATTTAACTGTCAATTCTAATTAAAATATTATTGTTTCAAATGTATGCGATATATTTATAGAACTTTACAAGAGAGCTTTAATCTCACTTGAAACAATACCATTTTTGAGAACTATTTTATTTAAAGTTCCCTAACCATAATATTTCATGAATCTTGCAATTTTAACTCAAAACACTTCAGTTTATAACTTATTAAACATTCAATTCGAATTTTATTTGAAAATAGAATAGATAGAAAATGGAAAATATGCAGTTGATTTAAGAGATCTTTATTCAAATTTAATTTCGCATTTACCATAAGCTCTGATTTAGCAAGATATTTTTAAAGTTGCTTTTTAAACTTCTAAAGGTGACCAGGTATTTCCACTTGGTGATGCTAAACTATCATTAATTTCGTTTATTATATAACTTTGTTAAAGATAAGAAATAGCAAATTAATTTACTTAACCAACCATTTTCTTAAATATTTTAGATTTAGTAATAAAATATTAATCTAATAATTAATTATAAATATTATTCGATAAATTGATAACTGTAATTGTTCAAAGTAAGAATTCTCAATTATAAAAACTATTATTCTAAGATTAAACTATTTTTATATTTCTAATTAAATATAATGGGAGTTAATATAGAAAATAAAAACCTGCATTCTAAGGAATTTTAACAAAAATTACAAATTATCTCAATTCTAATATTAATGAATCAGATGAATTAGCAAATTCTATTAATCTAATAAAAGATGAATGGAAAACTTATATAGATGAATTAAGTGATGTAAATTTAAAAGAACTACAATGGATGTGTGGAGTCAATCCAAGAATAAAGGAATAAGCTAATATTGAACCTTCAAGTCCATTTATGCCTGATCGTTTGATTTCTTATTAAGGAATAAGAACAGTAGAAAGTAATGATGATAATTCAATTAATTAAGACAAACAAGATTTTAATGAAATTGAATAAGAGGATAATTCAAATAATTAAATTTAAACTGAGAAAAACGAATAATAATAATAAAATTAATAAGAATTTACACCTATATTTCCTAATCAAACAAATGAAAATGATACTAATAATTAAGAATAATTGTAAGTTTAAGAACATCAAATTACAGATAATATAATTTAAGAGCATGATGAATAATATGAATAAAAACTAAATGAATTGAAACCAGAACCAGAACCCACAGAATTGATTGATTAAAATTAACAAAATTAGTTAAATCTAAAATATTAAGAATAAAAAAATTAATAAGAATTATGTGAACCAGAACCATAAGAAGAAAATCATATTTAGACTTAAGAACCTTAAGCAGAACCTCATTAAAATTAACAAGTTCTAAACTCTAATTCTTAAATGTAAGATGAGAATTGAAATAATATTATTATTAATATTATATTCTTTTTTCTTTTATTAATGAAAACCTCAAATCATATACTCTATTATTTTTATGTTTACAAATTAGATTTTTGAATCGCAATTATAAATCAATTCTAATAGAAATATCAAAAATTGCGAAAGCTAATTAATTATGTGGTTATTTAAATTGATATCATAAAATTCTCAAAGATGTTAAACTTTGGCAACTCTATAATAAAGTCTATATTCTGGAACTGTAAACCTTGTAGTAGCAAAAACAAATGCACCAATAATTCCTAAATATGTGGCTTAAGCAAACCAAGTGTTATGAATTTTCATGTATGATATTTTTAATAATATCTAATTTAATTTATATCACTGTATTCTAAATAAATCCAATGGATCTGTAGACCTAACTAAATAGAATTCAAATAACATCTTTTGACAAAAATGCTTTTCACTTTACACTACTATTATCAAAAAGTTAAAAAATTGGATTGATGGATTGTTTTATTTATACAATTAATGATTAATTAATTTCTCTCCTTATTTGCTATATTTTTCTTGAGATGCATACTATCCAATTTTTAACCAAGCTTATAATTACTTGAATCTTATAATAAATATTTTGCATTCTAGAATTACTTATCAGCATCCAAAATCTTAATAATAATTTCTTGATTCTAGAATTATTCAAATTTAAACTTAAATATCTAGCAAAACCTCAAATATTATAAGACTATCTGATCATACATCAATTTGGTTAATAATTCATATGTCCAAAAAAAATTATTTTAAACTTAAATCCAATTAAGTAGTAATTTAAATAAATAAATGTTGATTATTATCATTGTTTTTAATACTTGATTTTATTAAATCTTTTATTAAAGGTTAAAACTTTTCATCTATTGAATTTATTCACTAAATTTTGATGTTCTTTTAATTATCATTATTTATATATTTATTATTTTTAGTAAACATTATGAAAATTTACAAATTATTTTACTTTTTCTAAAATTGGATCATTTTTTAATTAAATAATAATTTTTTGGATTATTAATTTCTTATGTTTATCATTTTGTATTTCTCAAAATTATTATTAAATATATAATTGTATTAGGAGGGCAGGATATGTAAGAAAATTATTATTATAGACTGAAAAAAACTAAAATTAAATAATTTTCAAAGGAAGGTTGTGGAAAATGTTGTTGAATAATATTTAATCTATCAGAATGATTTCTTTATATAAAATAATTATTCTAGAGTAAACAAATACTATTTTATTAAAAAAGAAGTATTAAAATAATAATAAAAAGAATTAAAATTAGTAATTATATAGAAATTAATGAGTTTATAAAAATTTGAGTTTAATAGATTAGTTTAATTTAAAATATCATCATAATGACTTCATTTTTTTCATATTATTATTGTATAAGTTGTTTTTTGATTAATATAACTCTTGTTTATCATTTTTTTCATTTAATTCAGTCATCCAAGGAACTATATCCTCTTCATCTAGTATATACTCTTATTATATATTTAAGGCATCCTTCATTTAATTTTATTGTTCTATCAAAGGAGATCTTTTTTCTTCTTAGTAAATTTATATTTAAATTGCATTCTATTATAATTTTTGATATTTCTTTTCAAATAACTTTTAATCAACTAAATTTTAATCCATATATTTTATTATTTCCTCCTCATAATTATTAATCAGCTATTCAATATTTCTCTTAACTTTATGTTCCAATGAATCATATTTAAGCTAAATATTATTATAAATTAATACAGTAATGTAATTTTTTATTTTTTGGATTTCATCATATATTTTACCTACTAAACATTTCTAGAAATCTTCTTTTACACCAAATCTTGATAGTAGTATAAAATAACATTCTAATATCAATTAATAATATTACTTGCTGCTTTATCATATTTAGCTTAATAAACCCCAAAGTCACCTTTATATTTGAAACTTAAAGGTGGTTCCTATGGTTTTGCTTTAGGATCATCTGGATCTAAGTATTTCTTCATTATTTCTTTCTCTAATTTGTTTCTTTCATTTGACCATGTTTTGTCAATAGGAAATCCTCTTCTTATAAACATGAAAAAGAATTATCTATTATAATCATACATCATAAAGCATCTAAAAACCTTTGTCAATGTTTCTATACTAAAATCTTTTTCTGTATTAAATCCATGTCTGAATGTCTAGGATAAAAACATTATTTTACTGCTTAACTTTGAAGTATGTTTTGGTTTGATGTAAACATATTACCAGAATTTGAAATGAGAAGTCCTCCTTAACTATTATCAATAACAGAATCTTATTTGATCTTAGTATCCCTTTATAATTGATTCTCACAGTCTTATATTAAATTTTCAATTGCCTTCTGCTTTTATTTTTGAAGCTCATCAGACGGCAACTAATTTAGTTTTAACCTTATGTACTTAATTATAATTGGGGACTTCTTTAATAAGCTAAGAAATCCTATCCAAAGTCTTAGTTTAGAATTTTTCTTCTAAATCAGGATGAGAAAGTAAAATAAAATAGAATCCTTCAACATCAAATATTAAAATTACTTTAAGTAGTATCTTATTAACATAGATAGCATCCTAAAGTTGATTTAAATTTAAATAATTGAGGGACTTAAGTTTTGATTTCACTAAACTTGGGCTGCAATTCTAATTTCATTGAACTTAATTATGTGTTCAGAAAAGTCTTATCACCAGAAATCAAATAGAACTATTCCTTTGAGCTGTCATACAACGTAAAGCATCTAATTAGAGACATGTTTTATGAATATCGACAATAGTTAGATTAAATTATTAAATTAAGTTGTATTATTATCTATGTTATAATAGCTACAAACATAATTATATAGTGTTTTGATAATAGTATAATATGTAAGATGGCTGTTGATAATTAAACATAATCAATAACTTATAGTAAAATTATTAATAATTATGGCAAAAACGAGTTTACAGAAATTGTACTCAAAGTTTTCAAATTAATTATAAATATATATATAAATATAATGTCTTAACTAAGAATAAAATATATAAATATATATTATCAAACTTGTTATAGGTTTCTATATCTATCTTTGAAATTACTATTGATAGTAAATTATTTAATTGAATTTTTAAAATTATTTGTTTAACTCAGCACATTCAATTTCTTAAAATCTAAATATTATTAAGGTTTATCGAAAGCAGATTAAATAAACTAATCCCATTAATTAATAGGAAGTCGTTTGTTGAGAACTTCTTTATATAGAATACAAAGAGGAACTTTTTAGGCAGGATCATTATTAGATAGTTATGCCTTAATATTCAAACATTTTTAATAAAATAATCTCTAATTATTATTATTAAAACTTTAAATATCCTTAGTTCCCTGAATTTCTTCATCACATTATGAACTAGACATTTAAGTCAAAATTTCACCCTTTATATCAAACTAAGATTTTTTTAGGTGTTCACTTGAGATTTTTGTAATTTAATTCTTTCTAAGTATCAAATTTTATCTCAAATAATTAGTGGTATTTGAAAATAAATAACCATGAGTTTATTATACTTAATCTTACAGATCTGAATGTGTCAAATGTTTAAATGATTAATTATCAATATATTAGTATTATTAATTGTTTACTAATTAATACTTTTCTTTTTCTAAAGATTTCATATTCTATGACTTAACTAATGCCAAAGAGTTCAATCTTTCCAAAAATAATTGAATAAACAATTCTCCTTTATATGACTCAGTTATCATTTTTATCTCTTCTATAATATCTAATACTTTTCTGTATTCTTTTTCATCAAAGCTCTACAATTTAAGTAGTTAAGTGCAAAGCTCTTCTGCTCTCATTAGATATTTTTTATTGTTTAGATTTGTTTCTGATTTAGCTTAAATTAATATTGATAATCTTAGTTTTTTGATCTTAATATCAGTTTCCTCACTTGCTGTTAAATCTTTAAGTTAAGAACTTTGAGTAGATTAATAGAATTAACAGTTTTAAGTATGTTTATCAACATCAGCAATTGGAACAAAAGAATCGCAGTTTATACATGGTATCGAATAGTTTATGTCTATGAATGCAGTTTTAATACATTCACTTTTAGAACTCTTATGAGACAATGAATACAAATGATTCTATTTGCTTTACATTATATTATTTAATGATTTATCATGACTTTTAATCATTTTTTATTTTCAGTTTAGGGATATTATTTTTAAATATAAAACATAATTATATTAAATAAAAAATAATTGGTAAAATTTTTATTTTTGATTATTTAATTCATAACAATATTAATTACTAAATTTTATCAACTATTGAATATGTCATGCTACCAAGTTCCAATAATTTATTCTTTATTTTAATATTCAAATTAACCTTTCCCATGTGCTTAATCACATGAAAAATTACCCATAAATTTTGATCCATCAGAAAAATATAGAACTCCAATTCCATTTTTTTAACCTTGTTTCATTTATCCTTTATACTGGACCCAATCTTTTCTTGATAAATTCATATGACTCTTTTCATTCTCTTACTTAGGTTGATTATAAAGTATAAAATCTCCTTCAGGTACATCAAATACCCACATCCCTTCAGAAATCTTTTGGTTATCAGAATTATAGTAAGTTCCTATTCCATGTCTTCTTCTATTACAAATTTAACCTATGTAATAAAATCCATTTGAATAATGCAACTTTCCTTATGATACAGTTATAGTATTATCGAATTTGTTTTATGTTTAAATTTATTAATCTTTAATAGAAGCTTGACTTATGTCATTCTATTTAATTTTTTAAGTTTCATTTCTTAGATGCTATGTTTATTATTAAGTTGATTTTATCAAATTTTATGACCCTATAAGAGTTGATTATTTTGATTATTTGGATTAATAAATATTATTACTAAGTATTTCATTTTTGATATCAGAATGCTTATCAAATGATACAATAAAAAAATCTTTTAATTAATATTTTTCTTATAAACGATGCATTTAAAGATCTAAAAATAATTTATTGACCATATTATCTAATTCTATAAAATCTGGTCTTTTATCTTCTTCTATTGTTAGCATAATTTCTATTAGACGTAAGAATTTTTCATCGAAATTTGTTACTATAAGATCATCTTGAACCTTTCTCAAAGCAAAATCATCTACTTGCCATTTCTTCCAGTCATAAACTTCTGGATGTTTAGCTTATATCAAATATATCAAAATTAGGCCGAAATTGAATACATCAGATTTATATCTATTATGTTTGAGATACTATTAATAAAAATATATATTACCTTGTCTTTTTTTGGAATAGCTTCAATCTGAGCTGGAGAAAAAAAGGCTGTTTTTTTCAATTCATTCAGAGCTAATATGTTAATAAACAATAAATATACTTTATTTATCATCATAAAGCTAAATAAACTCTTAAAACAAATTTGTGCGAATCGGTTTTTAATACCTATCTACCAACTTATAAATTTCAGTGTTAAATGGAGTCTTAACAGTTACAATGTCTTCAATATCGAATCCAGATGGATAAATTTTATTTTATTATTGAAATGCCAAACCAGAGACCACACAATCTAATAAGAACAAAATCTCATTTTATGAAAATGGTTATTTCATGATGACTTTTTTATGTCTTGTTAAAGGTTGAATTGGTTTATCCATTAGTAGTATAATATCAGTATAAGGTATAAATATTTTCATAGATTCAATAATTGAAACATTATGAATTGATAATAAATTAGGATGATTATGCAATTCATATTTTGTTCTCCATTTTTTTACTAAATTCTTCATTTTGTCTGATGAATCTCCCATTTTCGAATATATTAAATCAAAATGTGGAATTTTATTATGCTAAATACTATAAGTATGAGTCAATAATTACATTTCTACTTATTTCATTGTTTAAAATATTCTATATTCATCTATATATGGCATAGGAACTTAAAATTTAGTCATAATTTCCCTCATTCTCAAATCTTATTGTATATCTTAATTTGTCCCTTAACATGAACCCATATTGCAAAAATGATTAATAAAATAAACGAATAAATTTCTAATCCAAATCTATTTTATACTTAAAAATAATGAAAACAATGTAAGGAATATAAAATTTTAATAGTTTTCCAACTTAAATATGATTATAAATAATTAGCCTTAGAATCAATAATAATATTCTTAATTCTAAATTCAGACTAGAGAAATTGATTGTTACTGATTTAATAAAGTGCAGATAACTTTTTTTAGTAATGTTTATGAAACAGATTTATGAAATTTTTATTAAGAACTATAAAGGTGATACAAATTTGATAAAGTTTATCTTGAAACCCTCCTTATAAATAAAGATTGATCAATGATTTAATTGTGTTTCATTCTACAATTATGATTTCTATATAAATGTTATCTGCAAAAAATATCAAAATAAATTATTTTCTAAATAACTGAAGATCTTATGGATTATTGAACCTGGGAATAATATTTTTCTTAATGAATTATTATAACTTATAATAATATCATTATTTTGTAATAAAACTTTCCACCTAAAAATTTTATCAGGATTGATCAATTATTATTTAAATAAAAGACTTTTCACTAGGATTATTCAAGGCAGTATAACTAGAGGACTGATAAATAAGCATTTTTATATATTTATACAGTTAAGTCTAAAAGTTATAATCATTTTTATTTTCCACTTCGTTTTCAACAGACTATGACTAATCCAATAATATATTTTGATTAAATGAAGAGTTATTAATTTTATTTTACAAACTACTTATAGAGCTATCTAAATAACATATTATATGAGATCCTATTTTAACATTAATTATTAGCTTGAGATTTTAAGATGAAAATAGAGAAACAATATGATTAATTATATAATTTTAGTGTATAATATAGTATTGCTCATTCAAATAAATAATATTAGCTAATCTATTCTATTAGATATAGGATTGATTTTGTTAATTTATTGAAGAAGATATAAATTTAGCTACATTTTTCATAGCAAAAAGAATATTTATATTTTATTAACAAATTATAATTTAAATAAAAATATTAATAGCAAAGGAACCAAAAAGTTTACTCTGTTTTAAATCTTTGATAATATTTTTATTATCTATTGTTAATGCTACTTAAAAGATTTCAATGAAAAGAGGAAATTCTTTTAGAAATCTAATAATAAAAATGATAAATAGAAATTTAATGTTTATTTAATCATATTCTATTTGTTATGCATGGAATATTATTCTATGCTTAAGTGTTTATTTTAGTCTTTTAAAGCAACTAATCAACTCTAGCTAATAAATCATAGTTTGGAATATAGGATCCGATTTGAGAAGTTTATTTTTAATCACTTTGAGTATATTAAATTTATCCTGATGATGATTATTGAACATAAGTGAAACCATTGGTTTGAGAATTTTTTTAAATAGGTAATTGAGTAAATGAATGAGGTGGGGTTTGAAGATAATTGGTTGATGTTTGAGGAGTAATGTTCTATGATTTCACTTATTAATAGCTTAATGGAGATTATTAAGGTTAAGATTTCTCAACTTTAATTTAATATTACATTTAATTTTATTGGTTCAATCTTTAGTTTTAAATTTAATCTTATGTGATACATTAATCTTTCTTAGAGTCTATTCTAATGTCATTTTTAGTTTCAAATTTTAGATCATTTTTAGAACCTATTTTGTTATCAGATTTGATAACATTTTTTTCTTCTGATTTTATATCTATTTTATATTCTTTTTACTTTTCCTCTTAAATATCTATATCTGGTTTTTGCTTATTTTATTTACTATAAATTGAGACTCTTCTTATTTTATCTTATCTTGATTCTAATTTACTTTACATTTATATTTGCTTCTCATTCATCATTATTTACAATTCTTAACTTGAAACATAAACTGATTCGACATTCTCTTTCACTGAATTATAAATTGATGCAAATTATTGTGTATTATTTTTGAATTCAGTCTATGCCAATCTTAATTTGCTGAGAACTGAGTTTGTAAATTTCTCATCTGATGTACTATTCAATCTGATAGGTTTGATTTGACTTCCTTCTAAATTTTTTTAAGTTTCCATATAGATAGAAAATGGTGTGACCTTATCATCAGCAACTTTATTTTTCAATACCTAGCAAAATTAATGAATTTGCTTTTGCTCTATATAAGGCAATAGCTTATCAATTAATAGAGTAAGAGCGTCACGTATATATTTAAGATCGGATTAAAAACTCTACATTAAATAATTAATGTTATCTAAATCATTAATGAAAATTGCTTAAGTAAGAAATTTATGACAACTTAAGAGTACTTTCTTAAACCTAAAATGAAATATTGTAGAAAACTTTAAAGTTGTTTTATTATAAGTGATTAAATCATTAAAAGGGTATACAATGCCATTAATTAAGAATACGGTTGATAAAAAAAGCAAAAATTTTGATTTACAACCATCAATAATAGTTAGTTGAATTGTATTGAATTGAATTCGATTTAATTAAATAAATAATTTATTTACCAAATCAGTATTTTTTATTATTTATTGAAAAATAATAAATAAATTATATTCTAAAATTGTAATACTAATTTACATACATCTATATAATTATAATATAATTTCAAATATTGATAAAATCAATTATTTTTCTTTCATTTTGAAATAATTAATGTAAAGGAGAAATCAATAAATAAAAAATTTTTATTTTTCAACAAAATACTTTTTAATAAATATAATAGAGAATTAAATGATCATATATATATATTTATAATATAAATGAGAAAAAGATTATTTTGGAACAATAATTTAAATTATAGGATTTTACATATATAATTAATACTCATATATATAATATAAAATGAATAATTTATTGTATTTATATATTATAGGAGGCACACTAGTTGGAGTTACATGTTTATATTTATTGAAATAATATATAAATGGAGGAATATGTAAAATCAGAAAAGATATGACTGGAAAAGTAATTTTGATTACAGGTATTAATATATTATTCATAAATTAGGTGGAAATGCTGGAATTGGAGCAGAAGCTGCTAAAAAATTAGGAGAGATGGGTGCAGATATAATAATTGGTTGTAGAGATTTATACAAAGCTTAATAAATCTTAGATCAAATAAAGTCTCAATCAAGAGCTAATCAGAAGCTTGTTATGTTGAAACTTGATCTAACTGATCTAAGAGACATTGATACTTTTGTCTAATAATTTAAAGCATTAAATATATAGCATATAGATATTTTAATAAACAATGCAGGTATTATGGCACCTAAAGAATACAAAATAAGTAAATAAGGATTTGAATTATAATTTGGAACTAATCATATAGGTCATTTTTACTTGACTTAAAAACTAGTATTAAGTTAAATTAAAATAGTTACCATTTTTGAGAAATTCATAGAATCCAAGATTAGTTAATGTCTCTTCGATGGCTCATAAATCTAGTGATGGTTTTGATTTAAATGATTTAGATTGTAAAAGATTTTCAAATTCATCTTTATGGTCTACAAGATATACAATGAAAGCATACAGCTATTCAAAATTATGTAATATATTGCATGCCATGGAATTTAGTAAAAAATATGGAATTCCTGCATAGTATCTATTTAAAATATAATAATAGTTCACTTCATCCTGGAGTAGTTAGAACAGAGTTATTTAATGAAATATATGGAGGTTGGAGAAAAATAATTTATTTTTTAATTTATCCTTTTTGGTGGTTCTTTACTAAATCCCCAGAATAAGGAGCTTAAACAACATTATATTTATCATTAGAAGACTAAGAAAATTTATAACCAGGAGGTTATTATAAGGATTGTTCTTAAGCAACTCCCTTATTTGCTAATGAATAATTAGCAACATAGTTATGGGATAAAAGTATATAAATGTTAAGAGAGAAACAATTTGATATATCATAATAGTGATGTTATTATAATATAAATATATATCTTTTTAAAATCTATTGATAATTATTATGTATCATTTTGAAAACTTTAATAAAGATGGGAGTACTCAAACTTAGAAATTATATTGATATTCTATTTATAATAGTAATATGTTTTACTAATTATAAGTAAAATAGATTTAACTTGATAAAGGTAATAATACATATTATATAATTATTAAAAATGGGAACTTGTTCAAATCGTACAGAACATAAGTAAATATCAGAAAATTTACGATTAAAAGCTATCATGATCTTCTAAAAAATTGATATCTACAACAAAGGGTATATAGATAAGGAAAGAACTTTACAATTTTGGAAATCAAACTTTGCAAAATTAAATACAGAGGCTTTATTTTCATAAGTTGATTATAAAAAAAGCGGAAACATAACCGTTTAGGAATGGTTAGCATTTTGGGATATTGTAAAATAACAAGGATATTCAGAATAGGAAATATCAGATGAAGTATTAGTTGCTAAATATATGAATGCAGTTAGATCAATTATAAGAAGGGAAAGCTTGGGTGTAATTCTATAAAGTTGATGCCTACATTAGAGCAGATAGAGAAAGACATAAAACATAAATTGATTCTATTGTTTAGATGGAGAAAAAAACATTGTAGAAATCAAAGTCTTTTAATTATAATTGAAATAAATAAATTTAAGATTTAAGATGTCTTTAAAACTAAATTATATCTCTGGCAATCCTAGAGCAAATAAAATCCTTGTTGCTGCTTAACTAGCCAATGTTGATGTTACTTCACAACTCTTAGAATGGAAAGATTTGGAAGTATACAATACTTTTTATTCATCTTAGACCCCAGAATTCTTAGCAAAGAATCCATTGGGAAAAGTCCCTGTTTTAGAGACCCCAGAAGGAGTATTGACTGAAAGCAATGCTATCCTTTAATATGTAGTCAGAGGAACTCCTTTGGTTGGAGCTAATGAATTCCAATAAGCCAAAGTCAAATAATGGTTAGACTTTGCATCAGGAGAAATCGAACCATCATTGATTTAACTCTTGTTGCCAGTCTTTGGACATTTCCCAATCAATCCAGCTTAAGCAACTACAGCTCATGCTGATTTGGATTGGAAATTTAGAGTATTGGATGCCCATTTTGCCAAAAATTAATATTTGGTTGGTGATTAATTAACAATAGCTGATATTAATTTAGCTTCATACTTTTAAGGAATATTCTAATTCCTTTATGGAGAAGATGATAGAGCTAAGTTAGTGAATATTGTCAGATGGTATAAATAAGTATCAGAACTTCCAGCTTTCTTAAATGTATATAAATAATTAATTTTTAGTTATTCGGAAGAACAAGATTTACAAAGAAACCATTCCCTGCATTATAATTTGCTGGACACCATGGTCATGAACATCATGAAAAGAAGGAAAAGAAAGAGAAATAACCTTAATAATAATAATAAAAATAAGAAAAACCAAAGAAAGAGGAAAAACCATAAAAGGCTGATGATGAAGATGAAGAAAAACCAAAGAAATAAGTATGTGAATTTGATACATTACCACCATCAACTTTCAATATTGATGATTGGAAGAGATAATTCTTAGCATCAAAAGATTAAGCTGCTGAATTCTAACACTTCTGGAATGTCTTTGATTCATAAGGATGGTCTATTTGGATTGTCAAATATATTAAGGCAGAAGGTGAAGGAAAAGTTCTTATTTCCTTTAGAAATAATTGCAATGGATTTTTATAAAGAGCAGATCCACACTTTAAGAAATGGGCATTTGCTATTCATGGTGTTTATGGAGATGTTCCTAATCTTGAAATTAGTGGTGCTTGGATCTGGAGAGGAGTTGATGTTCCATAATATTTGGTATTAATTTATTCGAAATTTCTAGAAAGATCATCCAACATTCGAGTATCTTTAACTTACAAAGCTTGATGCTACCAAACCAGAAGATAGAGCTTTGTTTGAAGAATATTGGCTTTAATAGACTGAAGATGAATCAAAGGTCTAAGGATTAACAGCAAGAGCTTTATATTATTTTAGATGAAATGTTTATCTAATTATATCGTACACAATAAATAGAAATATAGATCATTATTATTTTATTACTTTTTCCAAATGCATATAATCGATCTCTTCCTCTCCCATTTCTCTTAAATTTTATAATAATAATTTTAATTCTCTATTTAAACCATTATCTCCTGTTTTTTTTAAATAATGTAATATAGCTTAACTTACAAGTTGAACTTATTATGGGCTTTTATTAGCTCCCCAACTTTTAAGCAATGTCTAATAAATAAGTTCCTTAAGTTCATCACTACTTATATCCTTTTTTAAGATGAATTATAAAATTTAGATAATCTAAAAGATAATAGCACGATTAATTATTGAAATACTTAGAAATAAAGTAGTTACTATTTGAATTACAATTTAATTAAAATAATCTTATCCTTTTTCAATAAATTAAGACAAAGTTCTAATAAATATAATATCATAATTTACTTAAAAAAATTTAGAATTTCTCTTTACATTTCATATGAATTTAAAGTTAAAAAGGCATCACTAATTATTTCCATTATTAAAAATAGATATGGTGATTAAAATAATGCTTATTGACAATATCTTGTGCATTCTTTTACAAATTCAACATATATTTTCATTAAATCTGAATCTCTCCAAAGCTTATATTATTCAATGCAAAATTAATGAATTTATTAACTATTTTATATTGTCCATTAAGATATAAATTAATATTCTTAAGATCTTCCTATTGCAATAGTAATTAATTATAACCATTAATATTTTTAGGTTGGATTTTAATAAAATATTTAAAATGAAATTTAGAGTAATTATATAATAGATTATGAATGATTTTAATAGTTTGATACTTTCATTATCATTCTAACTAATTAATAGAGTTCATCATTATTTGATAAATTTTATGATTCTTTAAATAGATTAATTAATGGTTCACTTATTGAAGAACATAATAAATCTGATATCTATTTTACTTAAGTATTAATCTCTTCAATATTAGAATTAATCCAGGTTAATATAGCAATAATTAATGTATTGATATATGTAAATTGTTACTTAGTCAATAAATTAATATTTTTTAAAAGTTGAAATTAATTATTTGCAAAGTTGAATAACTATAAATATATTAATCAAATAAATACTTAAATTATGCAATCTATGTTACCTTTTGAATAAATACGATAACATAATTTTAATATGCCTTCAACAAAAGAATTTAACTGAGATTAATTAATAAAATCATTAAAATGTTGTTCTAAGAATAATACACAATCTGAAATCAATTGTTAATTTATAAGTTCACTATTATTACTAATTTATTCAAAGGCACTAATTTATATTTAATATTTACACTCCAGCTAAGGATCCCAATAAAGGATGAAGCATATATTAAAAGAAGTATTTTGTAATTTAAAGTAATAATTCATTATTTAAATTTATTTAATTAGTTAATCCACTAAACATCTATAGGGTTGTCTTTACAATAATATCATAATTTTAATTGTTTGGCAATTAAAGAACAAATTAAATTATTTATAAAACTAATTAATTATTAATTTAAAAGTCTGTTTCATCAATAATTGAACAAAGACAAAATAATGCTGCTTCACTTTTAATAATTTATTCTGTAGATTCAGGATTCGTAATAACCAAATTTGATAAAATGATTTGAAAAAATGAATTAGTTTAATTAATTTATTCAACATTTTTATATATGCTAATAAATATTTCTTTACAATGTTCTCTAAAATCAGAAGTAGATATATTATTATCCTTACTTTCATAATCTGTTTTATTAAAATAGTCATCTTCATCTTCAGATTCTCCTAATAATGATTATTTAGTTAATTTAATAGATTTTACTTTGCATCTATCAATTAAGCATTATAATATTTTCAACACAACACCTTAAATTAAATTATTCTGTCTCATTTAACTCCAGAACTCAAAAGTCTAAAATACTATTTTCCTTTAAGGATTATTTACTATATTCACCATCATATTCAACACTGGTTCTTCATATTAAGTATTTTAGATGATTGGATAAAAATCACATATAAATTTAGTTGCAAAAGATGCAAACATAACTGAAATTTAAGGATTATAAATCTTTAATATAAATTCGAGCATTAATATTAAATTTTATTATACAATATCTTCGGTAATTTGATTTTTATTAAATTATGAATACGCAACTGCTTCGTAAAGTAAAGAGAACAATTTATCAGAATATTCAAGTGCATTATTTTACAATGCATGTTATATCAATACAATTATTTATTGAATCAATTTTGAATCTTTGAATAAGCGATATGAAAATTAGACCCATGATTCAATGCATGAAATTGTTTACTTAAAAATATTCAAATCCTAGACACACAATAAACTTAGAAATATTTCTGAAAGTATACTTTCTTGTGTCTAGAATTCTAGTTGCAATTTCTATTATTCCTTTTTTGAATGGCATTCTTTACTTTAAATTGCAATTTAATTCAGAATTTCAATTCCTATTGGCATTTTTACCTTCATTAATTGTATTAATTCCTATAGTATTCTAAAAAGCATATATAATACTCTGATACCCTTTCCATAGCTGAGAGTTACCTACAATAATGACAGCAAAAGATGAGCAAACTTAATTCAAGGCAATATTTGATAGTGGTCTTCCTAATAAATTTAAAAGATAAGGTTATATAGTAATGTCACATTCTTCCTTTAATCTTCTATAAATCAATTAACAAGCTATGAATTAGTATTCTTATTAAATATATTATTAATCTAATATTTATTAGGCAACAGTGAAAGCTTCCCTAGTTTATTGCAATTTAAGGATATATTTATTAGCTTCTTGACTTATATTCTTATCTGGATTTGAAAGATTCTAATATTGTTTAATAAATTCTTCTATACTAAACATTTAAGTTAATAATTATTTTAAATTAAATCAATTTTAATATTGAATATTGTAGCATACTTATTTCATTTTCTCTCTCTTATTTTTCATCATAAATTCCTTTTTGTTTCTTCAAAGTTTGATACATATTTAACATCAAATTTAACATTAACATAATTATATATTTGCAAATAATCTATAATAATAATGAACTCTCTTTCACTATTGAAGACAATAAAAATCCAAATATGATACTAAAGAGAAGAGTAACAAAAAAAGAATCATAATATAAAAATTGATTGTCTTGGAATTGTTGATTTGATGAAGTTTTTTATTCATAAATTAATTCTAACTAATAATAAAAACTTTTGATTAGACTCTAATCTATATTAAATATCAGAATATATGAAATCAAACATGAATCATTTTTTGAGTCCAATTCTCCACTTCTAATTAAATTAAAATCTTATGAACTATAATCATAATATTAAACTAATTACTATCCAATAAATCAATAAATCCAAGTAGGTTAGTTTTACAAAAAGTAAAATATTGCAAAGAAGTTATTAAAGAACAACATCTGAATTGCTTATTAACTTATTAATTAGCTCTAAAGTTATATTAAAATTCATACATCCTTAATTAAACTCTTGTGCATTGTGTATTTAATCTACTATAATGAAGAAGAATTTTCTAAAAATTACAGAATCCCTTCATTTTTGATATTTAATATAATTATAT